AGTAGCGTGATCTGCCTGCAGTTAGCACTTTCCTTGGCCTTGAGATCTTGAATATATGCAATATAAACGCTCTATACGTGTACTCAGAGGAAAAGCATGTAGTAAAGGAAGCTTTGTTGAAGCTTCCTTGCCCGCGCGAGTAGCTGACTTGCATCGCCAGCTGCAACGAGGTGCGCTGCAGCTCCAGTGAGGGTGCCCCCTCCCCCGCACCCTCAGGCCCTGAGCCCAACACGATACCTGGGGGCAGCGGAGTGAGGCCAGCTGCTGTTGGGGGAAACTCTTATTTCAACTCTTTAGCTTCACTGCAGTTCATTTCTGCCCTCGATTAAACCCAGAGAGCAAGCCTTAAACCGAACACCCCCCGTCTGCAAATTTGGCAGCAACAGCCGTTACACTCCTGGAAAGTGTTGACGGACCACTGTCCAAGTGAACCACCAGTTTGTTTCCTCTCAGCCTTGCGATTGAAAGCGAGATGGGTAGCGCTACATTGCTTGCTCTTATGACACTTAAAATATGAATGGGTTTTAATCGTATCGATATCATGCCCAATACTACTCACGGGCGACACTTTGGCATACCCGCACAAGCTTATGTACTGCACACGGCTCTGTACAAACTGCGGAGAGGCGGCTGCCGCCTCTCCGCAGTTTGTACAGAACCGTGTGCAACTCGAGTTGCAGCGAGCCCTGCTCCATGCAAGGGAACCCCCCACGCAAGCGTGCCCAAATTCCCGCCTGCTCTATGCAGTTACACTGTAGGCAATTGTTCAATTGTTTCTTGGCCCCCAGTATCCCTTACGAAAATCAGGAGAAACGTACGTGCCAGTTTCCGACAGACGTGGCTGTAACGCCTGCCCTCAGACCTCTACCAAGGACAGAAGCGAGTTGCAATGTAGGTAAAGACTTGCAGCAAGAGTTTCCCCAAAGCAGCTGACCTCCTTCCCCGGTCCCTAGGCATCCTGGGCGTTGAGCTCAGAGCCTGGGTGCTGCGGGGAGGAGGCAGCCTGAAGTGCGTTTGCAGAGCACCTCGCTGTGCCTGGTAATGCAGGCCAGCTTCACGCGTGCACACAAGGAGGCATCCTTTAAGGCTTTCTATGCTGCATGCTTTAACTCTGGATGTACTTATAGAACGTTTGCAAGCGCTTACACGCAACCTACCGAGGCAAAGTGAAGGCTCCTGCGCTAGCTCTCGCTACACGGACCCCCTGAAGTCCAGGAGGGAGGGAGGCTGCGTCTAGCTGTTATTTGTTCTTTATGAAGATGCAATCATTCGGGTTCGTCTAACTAATGGCTCTACAGAAAAAACATCAAAATATATCAAGTGCTGTTTAGTAAGTGATTGGCTGATTGTTGCCTTGGGACTGCCGTGCATGCAGATTCTGCTCCAGGAGTTGAAACATGTATTGTTGCATGCTGCGCNGTTGCCTTGGGACTGCCGTGCATGCAGATTCTGCTCCAGGAGTTGAAACATGTATTGTTGCATGCTGCGCGTATTGCCGCATAATTGCAGAATTCTCCAGAAACTCGTTCAAATTATATTTGTCGTTGTTTGAGGCTTCACATGGTTTGGGAGAAATGACTCGCAGCAACGTGCCTGCAGGACCTCCTGCCTCAGCGGCAGACGTCCACCCTGGGCGCATCAACGTAGGTCAGCATTTGCCGTATACCGGTAGAGAAGTTGAAATCTTCTCGCGTTATGGCTACTTCTACCCCCCGGGCTACCTCCCGAATACGACCTATGCCGGATTCAGAGGACTGGCCACCCAACTCACATCCACGCAGTTCGGCATGAAGCCCACGGTAAGCTGCCCTCTTACAGCACCTGCCCTGCAACAAAGCAGTTCCACTTCTTGCCTCCTGATAAGCAGACGCGAAATGAGCCGTGCCGCCACAGGCGCGTTACGGTTCTGTATACCGCACTGTCGGTGATCTCTGTACCATAAGGGTGTTGTCCTTGCAGTGCGTGGCAAGAGGATTTATTAATTTCATTATTAATTTTATAATGTGCGTTTCTTGCGTCCAACTTTTGCTGCAGTACTTCCGCTCCTTTGGGATCGGGGCCGCGAAGCTTTTCGGGTGTTTCCTTCTGTTTTACCTGCCGCTCGACAACCTGTACTGCGACCTCCGCAAGAAGGTGAACCCCCAGAGGAGGGCCCTTTATCTAGATACCACAAGCACAGTTGATCCTCCTACTGTTTT